CATTTAACAATACAGAGTACCAGTTGTTTGCTACAATTTCATACACCAAGCCAATAAATCTTTCCCCAAATCCCATCTTTCTAAACACCTTAGTTAGAAACAACCATGACACACGATCGTATGCCTTGGCCATATCTAACTTGATCACAACGTTTGGCCCAGCTTTTGTCCTCAACCTTATATCTGTGATGATCTCCTGGGTTAATAAGACATTTTCAACAATGCTCCTACCCTTTACAAAGCCAGCCTGCTCCTCAGAAACTATGTTTGGAAGTAACACTGCTAGCCTTTCATGAACGACTCTAGAAAATATCTTGTTAACAAAATTGCTAAGGCTAATAGGTCGCATATCTGAAAAGGTGACCACCTCTTTCTTTTTTGGCAGAAGCACTAGATTTGTATGAGTTATATGTCTGGGCAACTCATGTCCATTGAAAAAGGCATGTACCATATTGACCATATCTTCCGCAATTATGTCCCAACAGGTATGAAAGAAGCAACCAGTAAAGCCATCCGGACCCCCTGAACTATCACCATTTAGTCCAAAAACTGCATGTCTGACCTCTTCCTTCGTTGGATGCTTAATTAGCTCAACATTCTGGGCATAATCCACCAGTGTTGGTACATGTTCAAGAATATCAAAGGACATAGTAGTTGTTTCTTCCTGGAGTTGTTCTTTGAAGAACTTAACTGCCTCATCTGCCATGTCATTATTACCCTCTAACCAATTGTCATTAGTATCTTGTATTTGTTTCAGCTGTAATCTTCTTCTCCTGCCATTGACCTGAGCATGAAAGAACTTCGTATTTCTGTCACCATCCTGGAACCATGTCATTCCCGACTTTTGTTTCCAAAATTCTTCCTCCAATGCCAGATATCGAATAAGCTATGCTTGCACCTTTTGTAACCTCTCTCTATTTTGGTATGTAGGAAACCTTTCAAACTGTGCTTCATGTACAATAACCACCTTTTCCAGACTAGTAATTTTTTGGAATATGTCTCCATACGTTGCCCTACTCCATATCGATAGTGCTTTTTCAGTTTTTTCAGTTTATGATTGAACATATAAAATGGGTCACCTATGAAGTCTGCTGTCCAGTTTTGTATAACCACCTCCTTGAAAGTTATATGCTTGCACCAGAAGTTCAAAAATTTGAAAGCTTTTTTGATAGGTGCCACATCAGGATCAAATTTCAGAATCATTGGACTATGATCCGAGCCTGTTTTGGACAAGTGAGTCACCTCTATATTAGGCCAATTCTGTTGTAAATCCAAATTACCTAAACATCTGTCCAATCTTTTGAATATGCAGTCATCTTCACCTCTCCCATTCCACCATGTATACACACTACCTTTGAAACCCAAATCAGTCAAGTTACAGGTGTTTATGCAATGCCTAAAATCATTTATCTCATTTAGCGACACAGAGAGTCCACCAAACTTCTCCTCCTCATCCCATATGACATTAAAGTCCCCACCCACTAGCCAAGGTAAGGTCATATCACTTGCCAGATTGTATAAACTGTCCCACAATTCTATACGCTCAATAGAGTCACATTTTGCATACACAAATGTAACCATGAAAGACAGCTGAGTAACCAGATTTGTGAGTTTCAAAGTCAACTGTTGAGACAAATTAAGTATTATGTCCACCCCATGATCATCATCCACAAATACCCAGATTTTGTTAGACACATTAGAGAATGCCTGTAACATTCCAATTCTTCTTCTATATCTTTCCAGCTTCAGCTTCTTTTGTTTTGGTTCCATAATGCCTATGAATTTAAAATGATACTACCTTTGCATGGTAATTAGTCTCTCAAAGGCCTGCATTGTCTTCACAGACCTCACATTCCAAAATATGGCATTCATCATTAAATGTGGTGTTTAGGATGGGTCCTTTTTGTTTGAACCCCAGGAACTACACTTTGAACGCTTTGAGTGTTGTCTTTTTGCTGCTTCTTCTTTCCTCTCCCAACAGATTTCCCTCTATTCATGTATGTGGGTGAAATATCTGCTTGTCTGGCAATCTGTTGAAAATTCTGATATGTAGACTCTGCATCTAAGTCTTTTCCTCTGATCTCCATATTATCATTATCTCCCTTTTTTCTCCATTGGGTCAGCAATTATTATTTTTGTGGCCACAAGAGTCAAAATCTCATTCTTCCCTTCCTGGTTTTGCTTTTTTACAAGAATAGAAAGATTGGAATTCATTTCAGCCTTCTCTACATGAACTTGTTTCTCTTTATTAGCAGCATTGTTACTCTGCATATTTACATTCTGCATACCTGTATCCTTAACTGTTTCCCCTGCATCAACTTCATCACCTTTTCTAATGATGTCCCCTTTATTTATATTAGGCTCAGCTGGAGGCAATGCTCCATATGGATTATTAGTTGGGATTTTGTGTATGCCTCTAAATTCTGTCAACTTAATATCTCCATCAGCTCCATCATTTGTAGGTTCAATATCTTTGCCTTCATTACCCCCTGTCTTCTCTTGCATTTTGTTTGGCTTGCCATTAACACTTTGTTCTGCCTTATCTTCCTCGTCATCTGACGACTCTTTTTCACCCATTGCACCCTCAGGTAATTCACCCTCATCTGAGTCTTCTTCAGGTTGTTCCCTCCAAAGCTTTTCTCCATTGATCTGTACTCTTGTATCATTTTTGGTTACCTCATCTGTTGCATCAAAATGAACTTGCTGTGATGGCACATCATGGCATGATTGGTTAACTATAACCATGTTTTCCCCAAAGGTTCTATTCACCCCGGTTGCTGTTGAGTTTTTTTTAAAGCCCTCCTTTCCTTTTTCTTTTTGTTTTGCACTAGTATCCTTCCTTCTCTTTAAAGTACTTCCGTCTCCAGTTGTAGGAGAGAAAGTAGCTGCCTTAGGATTAAATCGCTTAACTGTAACACCTGTAGGGCTTTTTACAACACTGTTATCCACCTTGTCCATCAGTTTCTTGTCTTGCTCTTCACCATCCTGATCTTCTAATGCTGCAAACATGTTAGTTATTTGGATTTGCTGATTATGGACTACATCCTCAGAATCTCCTTTTTCCACTGCATTACCAGGTGATTGCTGAACATTGGTCGTCACTGGAAAAATTTCTTTTCCTACAACACTATGGGTCTGTTGACACTCAAAAATTCCTCGACTCTGCTGCTCAATATTAGTATCTACAGTAACAATTTCCTTGCCCGTTTGTTCTTGTACCACAGACTGCTTATCACCATTCCCCTGCATCTGTTGCCCAAAGCCTTTACCTTGCACCTGTTGATCATTAGCTTGATTTACCGGCGCTATTTCCTTCCCTGTAATATTTTGATTCCCATTTATCCTTACTCGATTGTCTCTTACTTCCTTCCATTGTTCCTTTGGATATCCATTTGACTTGCCAAAATCCTTACCAGTAGAAGGCAACACTGCATGCTGCACATTAGCAATATTTTTATCCTTGCCTGTTGATTCTTGATTGGCATCCTCCTTTTCACAATACAGTTCCGGGTGCAACCTCCAACATTCAAACAAATTGTGGCCCTGTAATTTGCACTCCTTACAGTATTTAGGTAGCATATCATATTTGATATTAACCAATTCTTCCCTTGTTTCACCAGTAGATTCATTAAAGATATCCATTTTTACCTTCTTTGGATGGTCCGCTAACAAATCGACAAGAACTTTGACCCTCGCACAACTAGGTCGCGTTTTGTTTACTGTGGCAGAATCAAGATGCATTGGCCTTCCAACAGCTGCTGCAAGTGAAAAAAGACATTCTTTCACACAGTAGGTTGGCAACAGACCGGGGAAAGATATCCATGCCATAGCCTTTGGGGTCTCCTCGTCTGTCTTGAATTTGACATCGTATATTAGGGGACGAAGCTGAAATTTTTGCCCAGTCCTATCTGTAACATACTGAGCTCCCTTCGACGCGTAATCAACGAAGTCTTTCCATAGAGTCATTCTTATTAGAATGTGTCTGTCTCTCAAAACTCCAATTTTACATTCACCTTTAATTCCACATTGTAGCGGCACGATTCGACGAATTTCATTAATATCTGGCCATCCGTATGAAAACTTTGCAACCATGGCAAATTGAAGCTCTTCGATAACATTCATCCTCTCAACTTCAGCTTCCGTAAATTTCACAACTGGATATCCATTAATGATAGCTGGTCGACGAAACGTAATTGATTCTACTGTTGAAGGCTTCGCATGCATGCCACTGTTCATCACATCATGCTTCAGAATTTTTGAAAAATCCAGTGGTGGATGGGTATTATTTGGTGTTGTATACGATTGGATTATGTTAGGGGGGGTTATGGAGGCAGCCCAGCCGTTGATGGTGGTTGGACGCCTGCCGGCGATGCCATCGGAAACCCACAATGCAACAGTGCCAATGAATAGTAGAAATTAAAATTTGAGCCAAGAAATTGTACGATTGGATGCAGAAATACGATTGGAAACTAATTGCAATTGGAAGAAAGACCTTTTAGGATTAAGTATGAGGTTAGAAACTAATCAGATGAAAGATTAAAACCTTTAAACATTAAAATCGCCACTTTCTCTCTCTAGTCGTAGAGAGAAGGCAGAGGTTGGCGGCTAGGTTTTTTTTTCTTTGCGCCTACATAATGTTGAATGTGACGTGTGTGCAAAATTTCAGGTCATTTGGACGAGGTTTGATAGACTTTTTGATCAAAAGCGTATTTTTAGAGTTTTAAAATTTTTAGGCTTGAATCCGTGGTTGATTCGTCATTTTGATGTTATTTTAGGTGTTTTAAGGATTGGTATAAGTTTGGACAGTGGCATTAGACTTGTTGGTGCCTTTGGTTGAGGTCCCGGAGGCCTCGGGATGATTTCAGATGGTTGACGGAAGGATTTTGGAGTTTGGAGTTACAGCTTTAGCTACTGGTTTTCTGTCATAACGACACATGCGAGTGTGGGACCGCAGGTGCGGCGCTGCAGAAGCGGCTATGCGGCCGCAGAAGCGAGATAGGCCCAGAGCTCCAGGATCCGCATGTGCGGCTGGGTTTTCGCAAATGCGGTGCCATAGATGCGGCCAAGAGACCGCAAATGTGGACCCAACCCATTAAGTGACTTTTCGCACCTGCGATTCATTCTTCCGCAGGTGCGCTTCCTTGACCGCAGATGCGGTAATCGCTGGGCAGAAACATATAAATGCTTGCCTTCGCGAAATTTAGCCATTTTTACCTCTTTTCAAACGGGAAAGAGCTTGGGGAGCAATTTTCAAAAGGGATTTTCAGAGGAGTTCATTGGGGTAAGGTCTTTGGTCCCTAAACTCGTTATTGGATGATTTTTATCATTATAAGCATGAAAAATTAAGGAAAATCAGTGGTAATTTGTGGGTTAGGGCTTGACTAATTAGAGGCCTTTGAGTGATGATTTGAGGGACCAATTGAGGTCCGAATTTGGTATGACTGAACTCGTGAGAGTGTAAGAATTCTAGAAATGTAAATTTCACCTGATTTCGAGACGTGGGATCGAGGGGCATTTTGATCATTTTACCTAATTTCGCGCATTAGCTTAGAATTTCCTTGTAGAATAAGTTATTTGAAGTATTATTTACATTATATAATTGAATTGAATAGATTTGGGTCATTTGGAGTCGAGTACTCATGGCAAGAGCGTGGTTACGAATTGATTTGAGCTGGTTCGAGGTAAGTGGCTTTCCTAACCTTGTGTGGGGGACCTTCCCTTTAGGATTTGGTATATTTGATAATTGGAATGCCTTGTACGTGAGGTGACGAGTACGTACTTGAGCTAATTGTTGAAAATCCGATTTCCTTTAAGTAATTTTATTTGTGTTCCCTTTTCCTGTCTTATACTACTTGCAATTTAAGCTTGTTGTTAGCCTTGTTTAACTGACTTAATTGCTTACTTGCTTAAACTGCATTAATTGTATTTTGTGAAGCATGTTAGGTTAGAATTACATGTTTACTTGGTACGAGATTGAGCTTAAATGATCTCCCGGCATCCCGGGAGATCCCCTGCACGTATTTATGATTTGAGTTGAGGTGCGGGATACCGAGAGATCCCTAGTACGTATATTGAGGATACCAAGAGATCCTCGGGATACCAAGAGATCCTCGGGATACCAAGAGATCTGTAACATATATTGAAGATACCCAGAGATCCTCGAGATACCAAGAGATCCCTAGCATATATTGAGGATGCCGAGAGATCTTCGGGATACCAAGATATCCCTAGCATATATTGAGGATACCGAGAGATCCTCGGGATATCAAGAGATCCCTGACATATATTGAGGATACCGAGAGATCCTCGGGATACCAAGAGATCCCTAGCATATATTGAGGATACCGAGAGATCCTCGGGATACTAAGAGATCCCTGGCATATATTGAGGATACTGAGAGATCCTCGGGATACCAAGAGAATCCTAGCATATATTAAGGGTACTAAGAGATCCTCGGGATACTGAGAGATCCCCGGTTATTTCCTTGCGATTGTTTTTGCCTCTATTTCAGTTATTGAATTCCTCGTTTTCCTGTATTAAATTCTTATTGTTAGCTTTCGACTGCATTGCTTATCTTATACTGTCATACCTTATATTTTTTATTTTATCTTAGTAGGGCCCTGACCTTCCTCGTCATTACCCGATTGAGGTTAGGCTTGACACTTACTGAGTACCGTTGTGGTGTACTCATGCCCTTTCTGCGCATGTTTTTCATGTGCAGATCCAAGTACTTTGACTCAGTCCTATCACCCTTGAGGCGAGGCGACTGC